ATCTATCTATCTATCTATCTATCTATCTATCTATCTATCTATCTATCTATCTATCTATCTATCTATCTATCTATATTTAGCTCTCTCTCAATCTTTCTCAATGTTTGTCTTTCAGGGGAGATGGCGGTTCCATATTATACCGGACGGGTAACAGACTTGCTCATAAGCAAGGAGGAAGCCTCGACCTTCACGAATGCTCTGTATATGATGGCTTGTTTCACTCTGGCCAGGTATGATGGGGAGAAACTACTCAGGTTTGTTTTTTAAATGCTAACTTGCACTGATCGATTTTCAGCACCTTCTCACCTCTGCACGAATCAATCTGTGGTATCGTTGGAAACCCACAAATTTGTCAGTGCGTTTTAGTCACAATAGTAGGGAAAAGTTGGATCGCAAAGAAATACATTCGGAAATGCATCACATAGGGGTTTGCTAGAGAGAGAGAAAAAAATGGGAACCGTACAGGTAGTCCTCAACTTACAACAGTTCACTTAGTGACAGTTTGAAATTACAACGGCACTGAAAAAAGCGACATGCCCATTTTTCACACTTACGACCATTGCAGCATCGCCATGGTCATGCGATTTACCTTCGGATGCTGGACAACATATTCACATTTATGACGATTGCAATGTCCTGGGGTCATGTGATCACCTTTTACGACCTTCTGACAAGCAAAGTTAATAGGGAAGCCAGATTTACTCAACAATTGTGTTACTAATTTAACAACTGCAGTGATTCACTTAACAAATGCAGTGAGGAAAGTGGTAAAATGGGACAAAACTCACTTAACAAATGTCTCACTTAGCAACATAAATTTTGGGCTCAATTGTGGTCGTGTGTCAAGGACTACCTGCCTATTAATGGACTGCTGTCCCATTAGATCAGGTGGAGAAAGGTATGCTGTGGATACCATCTGCCAGGGATTAACATTTACTTATTGATTACCTTTATATGCTGCCCAATCTCACTATTCAAAGTGACTCTGGGCTCCTTACAATATTTGCCAGGCAATGGACTTCCACTTCCTGAGTTCCCAGCATGGTGCCTAGGGAATTCTGGGACTTGAAGTCTGTATGTCTTCAAGTTGCCAAGATTGAGAAACATAGCTCTAGATTTAGTTTCTAAGGAGGCTCCAAACCCTTCTAAAATAATGTCCTTCATTATATCCATAAATTGACTCACACCAAGGAGGGGACAACAATCAGCTTTCTGTTGTCTCCTTCCCCTCCAGGGTCATTAGGCAGTTTCGGAATTAGAGAATAAGAGTTGGAAGGGACCTTGGAGATCTTCTAGTCCAACCCCCTGCTCAGGCAGGAAACCCTATACCATTTCAGACAAAAGATTGTCTAATCCCTTCTTAAAAACTTCCAGTATTGGAGCATTCAGAACTTCTGCAGGCAAGTTGCTCCACTAGTTAATTGTTTTCACAGTCATGAAATTTCTCCTCGGTTCTAGGTTGCTTCTCTCCTTGATTAGTTTCCATCCGTAGCTTCTTGTCCTGCCTTCAGGTGCTTTGGGAAATAGCTTGACCTCCCCTCTTCTTTGTGGCAGCCCCTCAAATATTGGAAGACTGCTTGCTTCTGCTGTGCAATTCAAAATTCATCACAGTGATCATTAACCCAGGATAGAATATTATTTGTCCCTCACGTCAATATATTTGCAGAAATGTAACTCAGGTTGCAAAAAAAAAAAAAAA